TATAATGCAAGTGCCCTATTGGCCATGTTAGAATTGGGCAAGAGACTGGTAAGAGTTTTGAATTTGATAGCTTGATCCTTAAAGGAACACTTGGATGAAAATGAATRAAAATTGGAAATGACTTTAATCTTAATTAAAGATATCTATACTGCCCCAATTGTAGCCAAGCAACATACTTTCTTCACAGAAAAATGTCTCAGATAGAAATTATCAATTTTATTTAGCATATAAATTGTGAGTAAATGACGTTATTTACTCAACCCTATTGTTCTTTTGCCTTTTAACTCAAAATTTCTCAACTGCAAGTGGTTCCCAGGTGGAAATTTTCACTAATCTGGTTTACATATGGTGATAATAATCATAATCATAATCATAATCATAATCATAATCATAATCGTAATCATAATCATAATCTTAATTGAGCCAAATTATCCTCAAATACTTCAATTATTCAGACGTTGAAAAATTGGGGCGCTTTCATCCAAGTGCCCATTTAAGTGTTTCATTGTATTATATTCAAGTTTAGTTGATGGTATTCACATTCATGATAGTCTAAGCTTATGACACAGTAAACAGGCAGAATGTAAAGAAAGAAGACAATGAATTAGTCGAAGAGGAGTGATATTTAGATTGTACATTTTTATTTTGATGGGGGAGGAGTAGGAAAACTACAAATTTGAACTACCTGGGGGGAGGGGTAAGGAAGGGAGGAAGGAAGGACAGGAGGAGAGATTATACAGCAAACTTCTTATCCTTGGGTATAATGTTTTACAATTGCAGATCACCTGTTATTCTCTTGAATTGTTTCTTTGAGTAGTATCCATATTCAAATGTCATCTCTTGCCCAACAGTAAGGAAATGGCATATAGTCTGAAATGGGGAAAAGAATCGTGCCCAAGCTCAAAAATYCTTATGAGATTGAAATTCTYTTGTTTTGATCTCCAATTTGAAAKGCCTTYATGTCACATGCAGGGGGTGTATTGCAGATRTTCTGGTTAGAAATTTCTAAAGACCCCTTCAAGCATAATGCAGCTCAATTTGGAGGCGGACATAACAATAGGTTTTAAAAATTCTTATGAGATTGGTATTCTTTTGTTTTCACCACCAAATTRAGCTGCCTTTATTTCATATGCAAGAGGTATATTGCAGCAAATAATTTTTTAAAAATTTTGACCTAAGCATAGAATATCATAATGCAATTAGTGTACTTTATAATAATTTTTTAATGATGTTTWATGTTTTTCTGCACATTATTATTTATAAGATGGAAATAAATTGTTTGTGGCTGTGTGGAATCTTGTGATATACATGTTCTCCTTTAGTCTCCTATGCATGAGAGCCACTATTAATGTCGTCACGCAACATTCACTACTTAATTGTGTGACAATACTAATAGCGGCTGAGACCAGGAGACTAGTTCTCTTTAAGATTGTAGTACCATTGCATTACAATAGATGCCATCCATTTGAACAGAATATGCTTCCCCGATTTCGGCCATGCTTTCCCTGCTAATTTTGCATACAGACACCAAGAAAAAGATTGACGTTGAGACTATCTCTTTAGCCTTTTGTATTATCTTTCTTTCAACAATCAAATTTGTTATAAGATCTGAGTGTCAAAAGAGAAATATCATAAGAGCTTAACAGCTTTAACAAGATGGTCACAACTCACTGCCAACACAAATTGATTTCATATTATTAGTTTATCCATATACAAATGAATGCCCATAATTTTTTCTTTTACTGACAGTCGTCGACTCTTTATCATTCACAACAAATGGTATTCCATCGGGAATATCAATCCTTGCTCCCAAGCCATCTTCTCAGATCAAACGATATCCCCTTGACACTAGCCTGCGTTCAGCATGTATAATTTCTCTTGAAATATTATCTCAAAAGAAATTATAAAGGCTAAATGCCCGGGGGGTTGGGATG